CCAAACTGGAAACTCAAAAATTAGACGCACTCATTGCATGATATCGTCGCTACGTGGACTACATTTTCGTACCTGCCGACAAAACTATCAGCATACCAGACGTGATAGGCAGCTTCAATTCAGTCCATACTAATATCAAGATCACTATCGAGTCAGAAGAGAATGGATGGTTAAGTTTCCTCGACGTCAATGTTAAAAGGGAGACTGACTGGACCATAAAGCGCAAAACGTGGAAATGTCAGTGTATTCACTTCGATAGCTTCGTTCCGCTGCAACACAAGCGTAATCTAATTAGACGATTGACTGAAACAGCAATGAAGATATGCACCCATGACTGTTTAGAAGAAGAACTAAGGTTCCTGGGACGCAAAACAGATATCCTCAGAGTTTCGTATCCAATCCGTTAAACCCAAACCTAAGAAGAAGCCCATCTGCATGGGGCTCTCATTCAAAGGTGACTCGGCTGCTGAGTGGTAGTGGGAAAAAAACAGGTTCAAGAGCGATTGCATCACATTTGACCGAAACCAGTCATGCCATTGACAAAGGGCAAGCCTTGCCGTCATATATGGGGTAACTCTAAACCGATCACAACTGGTACGATCCAGAATACTATCGATCGTAGAGGGGGTTGGAATATGACTGATGACCCCACAAATTACGTCCGAAAGAAACGTGTGTGAACTCTGAACTTGAACTGGCTTGTGGAAAATACAGACCCACAAGCTTGTCTGACATTGATGTCACTTGATTCCATGACCCATTGACCTACCCCTCATTCAGACTTCACTTCCTTTGATTTCTATTCTTCTAAAGTGTATGTACCACGGATTTTTACCCTTCACGTGATTTCTGGTATAAAATTATAGTATACTAGCTAAGAGGAACAACAAGAGAAAGCAAGCTTCGTTTCCAACCTTCATTGTTCTCATGACTTCCACAGGTATATTCAGCCACTTGAAACCGGATAATATCATTTATTCTTCCGGGTGAAATCAATGGGTCAGACTCCTATTAGACTTCGGATAGGAGTTCAGGTCAGCTCGTGAACTGGGTATCCAGTGTTCATATGAGCTCACTTCTAAATCATTTATGACATAACTTAGTCAGTTTGGTTCTTCACAAATGTTCACTCGCATCCTTTTTAATTACATCACTACCAAGCCTCCGAAGTATGCGTAATGGAACTGGGAACTCAAGCCATTGAAATAAATTCTAACCTTTGGAGTTCTTCTGAGTTTCCGGTATCTTCGTATTGCCATATATACCGATCTTTTACGGATTGCATCGTAACATTAGCCTTATAAGACTGTTGAATTCTGCCAATCACTGTCCTCTTTGACAGTAGGTCACTCACAATCTCAGTTCGGCTTCAACAGCCTTTTTCTTGAAAATTACTTGGCTTGAGTCTTTTTTGTGTTAGAAGAAACATCGTACGAAGAGTGGAAAAGCATTTGAATGAAGACGTGAGTAATGCAGCTGCGTCCGCGGACCGTGGTCAGCAGCTACCTCCACAAATATCGAGTTCCACTTCCGATTCCAGCAAATAATTCCGTATATTAGGTTGAGAAGGAACGACTTTAATCTGGTCTAACTATGCCGATCCAGAGCTGATGCCTGTGCCAAGATGAACTGGTCGTTGCAGTCAGGTAGGAAAGGTAGGGTTGTCTGCTCGGACAAAATACCATTGATTCTCCTTTGAGCCACTCAGCCCAAACAAGTAATTTGGACAGAAATGCGGACGAACTGTGTGGATGATTAAAAATGAATGCTGGATGGAACGCTGTCCAAGTGGATGGTAAAAGGATCTCTTTAATCGGACATCGTTCGAATGCATGTAGTGCAGGCAAGTTTCCTATTACTCCAATTCACGAAGTTCTTCGTACTGAAGCAAGACAGCAATAGAAAAAGTGTACTTTCGAAAGGCTGCATAAATGAAACAGCTTGAAAACACGATAGCAGGTGAGAGTGGTGTGTCCTCAAACGATTTCGGGACACCCTGCGATGTGGCTTGAATGTGACCATGAACGATTTTAAGTTTGAGCGTTATGGTAAGTGGCCATTACGCACCACGGACACTTGGCACAGCAGACAACCGCTAATTCGGATCATTGGTGTTGGACCGTTAATATTTTTGGAATATGATGGCATAGCGTTGTCTGTAACTGATGAAGTACTTGCCATGACTCTGGGTTTCTGCACTGGTGAGAGTGCTCATGTGTCTTTAAAACAGTGTTTGCAACAACCACAGATGGTTACAAAATCATCAACTGTTTAAGTGAGATAGATGAGATGGTTAGGACGTAATCAACCACTGAAAACGTGAGAGATTTTTCTACAAAACCGAAAAACTCACATATTTTTCCTGGAAAATTGGTTAAGTCGTCTCCACAGATGCCGCTTGCATGAACACAAATCGGTCCTCAACATTTTCATACCAGGTGGAACAAGCCGTATTTTAAAAAGCCGCTTGATTTTGTTGTTGAATGTGCGGAGGTTAGCTATAAAACATCCCTCGTTGGCTATGCGTTGTCGTTAACCGTGTTCGTTAGACCAGATGCCGGATGCCAGATGTTGGTTATGCGTGCACGATAACAGACTGAGGTAAACACAGACAACAGCAGCGTAAAATCACAATGTAGCCATGAAAACAGCAGTCTGACTGTCACATCAAAATTTGACAGTGGGAACCACTAAAAACCAATGTCAGTATTAGGCTTTCATTCACGTGGTTAATGTGACACATCAAAGCGCTACCCACAACTTGGGGTTTCACGACCCACTTGATATTCCATTTCAGGCCAGAGAGAAATAACCCAGCTTAGGAGAACAATGTACGCGTGTACAGCAAGTCCAACACCACCACCATCCGCAGCTACCAAATGGCTGGTCACTAGGAAAACATTATACACTTATGTTTAGCCAGAAATTGTATCTTTCAACTGCATCAAAACTAAGCGCAAAGTGGTTCGGTTATGGAATGATACTCTTATGTTAGTAGTATTCAACGCCGTTCTAATGACTTCCGATTTCCCGGTTCACGCAGTGTTGGGTTTTTGTGTTGAAGCCAAAACAGCTTAAGTTCCGTTTAATCAGTCCCACTGGTAATTCCTTTTCTTGAAGTCTACTTCTACCCACATTTTCAATGCTGTACGATCGGCTTCTTCACACAGCCACTCCTAATTAAATGAACTTTTGTGAGACTCTACTAGCGGGCGGATGGGCGGAAGCGTAGTTTTAAACAACAGTCGAGTCCGTTGGTTTACAATGAATAACGTTCTCCTATTCTCAACTACTCTTGTGCGTCATAGAGTTTGGAGAGGATGAGTGGTCTCGAGGTGGACTATAGCTGCCAACCGAACTCATTGTGAGGCTTCAGAGTGTTAAGATACTGATGCTGTGTGTTGGTCAAAACGGATATTTCAACTAGTCAGCACCGAAAACACTCAAATCATAGTACCAAAACGCCGAGGAGATCCCCAACGAAGACTCACAGAGACTTCAAGAAGGTGGATTACTAGTGACCTTGAGTGAACGGATCCTAAGGCGGATTTCGGCTTCAACACGAAGACCTAACAAGAAGTGAGTGGTGGTAGCAGTTACTCTGACTGACAACAGAGGTCTCTAAGATGGTGTTGAATATAGCTGACAGAGTTACAGTGCATAATGGAAAAAACGTTACTCTCGTTTTTCGTGCATCTGAAGGACTGTTAATGCTCAGTACAGTGTAACAACTGTCTGGAGTTTTGCATAGGGAAAAAAGTCAAGGGGTTGCATCCCGGCATACTGAGTGTCATACTGGCATGCATGTGGGTAACGCCTTTAAACAGCCGAGTTGTGAATTGGTTATCGGTGCAGCGGTCAGGGTCTACAAACAATTAACCTCTACAATCCGCAACCAAGTAACTGCTAACCCGACACTTAAACGAACTTTGTGAGGAAAACTCAAGTGAAATGTTCAACCAGAATGCTCTAAATCTTTTGAGCAAGGTCCCGATCCCGGTCCAACTTAAGGATACTTCCCCCCTGACCCATCCGTAACACGTGCCAGTCACTCAAATTAACCAAAGCTAGTTGAAAAGTGCCCCACTGACTTTTCTCTCTAGCTCAAATTCGCTCAATCTTGTAACTTATTCACTTGATCTGACGAAGTGTTGCTCATCAATAAATCCACTGACTGTGTACCAAAATGTCCTAAAATTGTGACTTTAAAGTTTGATTTTGTTCGTCTTAGAAGTCAAAAGAGCCGTGCATTATTCTAGAATGGAAACACACCTTACATTGTGTTCCTCTTGAGTGAAGTCTGAAACAGTTCCTATGAAAACCGCTCCTTAGCCCTGCTGTCTTATCGGTTAGCCACAACGTTTGAATCAGTGTCTCTTCGGTTGCAGTTATTCCGTATGTAAGCTTTCGAAATGCATGGCTGTCCAACAAGTTGACGAAAAAACTTCTAAACTACTTGTCAAATTTTCCACAAGCAGGCTAGTGATATAAAGCTCATGCAAATTCAGTTCACAACAGTCGATAGTCAGACGTTTCGCTATCTCCAAATAGCTATCGCTTCCAGCCAGCTGATATGTCGTTACCTGATAAGCTCAGATATCTATTTGAAACTAAAGACTTCACTAAAATACGCCAGTAACGTATCGAACTGGCATACTTGGATGAATATTTTGGTCCGGAAAACCTTAAAGTTTACACTATAATGGGAGACCGGATTTCACAAAAATTCCCCTGTTAAAACTAGCACTTCTTGATTTTCAACCTAATAGTGACTACCAAATAGCAACCGGGCGAATTGATTACTTGGTTGTTTTAACAATGCTCGTCTTCATAATATGCCAAGTAAAACTGCGGAACTTTCCGAGGCACTAATAAGCAAACACAGCAGATGTTTTCGAGTCACTGGCATAATACTGTCAGGTTAAGGAATCCATTCACATTCGCTGAGCGCGCCAACGTCTAGATCTGATAACGTTAGTCTCCTACATTTCCCACTGTAGGTCAGACGGGAATGCTGGCTTATCAAACCCCGGAGCACGTCGTCGAATGCGTACGGATGGAGAAAAACCGGGAAAACCAAGAGGTGGTACGTGTTTGATTCTTTCTTTACTTAGAATAGAATCAATCCGATAGAGAACCCTCTTGAATTTAGTCCACTGCGGTATAGGCCAGCTTTTTTAGGACTCAGATTCACCGACATATCTTTTAACATGTGAATATATGCACATTCACAATACCTCGTGCAGAGGACACAAGCATTCAGGTTATCCAAGCAATCATTTCAAGTTCATATTCACGTCACTCACTTTTGGACATTCTTCCCCTGTTCTGGTACGGACAGGGGTCTGAACTCCGGCCATCTGATATGCAAGGCAAGCATGGTACCATCAATGCTCCAGCGCATACTCGAAGCTTTTAAGACGTGACGTTCAAGTGCGCGTATGGTTCGCTGCCGTAGCAGTAGCAACACGACCTCCTCTCATGTAGCATATTCAGGGTTCGAAAACCGGTAAGCGCATGGTAAGCACTACTGATGAGCTCTAATAAGAGCAAAACTCAGTGTTGCAGCATTCGCTTCCTTAGTATGGGATTACCAGAACAATTGTGCCAAGTTTGGAGGACAACTGTTCAAACGTGAGTAGTGTAAACGTCAACCAATCCCATAATCTAATTCCATCGTTTCAAACAACTAAAAAAAGCCACAGTCGCATACAATCATCCAAGCCCCGACTACAAACAGAACGTAGTATCACAACGAAAGCAAGTAGTTTCGAAGATTCAGAAGACGTTGTTGTGGTTTATCAAGCATTTTGTTGGTGAAATCACCACGTTGAGGGAGGACTAGAGTAACGGTGCCGACAAAGAGGTGAATTGAATGTCACGTTCTCCAAACGATAGATGGAAATACGGGAACTTCAGTTCGCTAGTGTATGGCCCTAATTCAACTTTGAAACACAAACATCGTATTCAGGTAAAACTCATCCGGTTGAAGACAACTGATTAACATACGGAGAATGCTCATCTTTTCCGTCCTTAAGAAGGTTTGAGGATTATTGAGCAATAAACAAACTTTTGACAAGCGTTTGAAGTGGTTGCAGAAACAAAAGAAATGTATTAAGAAGACGCATTAAGTGGATCTTTGCTATTTCAAAGTGTCGTGGCGCCGATTCACCTCCGTGCATACACCATGATCCAAAGTCCGATCCACTAATCCCAAGGTAAGTAATAGCTCTCCGTTCAGGGCCTCGAACCATTGTAGTTACTGATTTGTGACAACAAAAACAGAATTTTCATAATAACGATTCAAAGGAAATATTACTGCGATGCGAATTTAGTGTACAATTTCACTCCAACAACAGACTGTCCCGACAAGTTGGTAGTGTCGTAGTAGATTCTCCACTAAGTTCACCGCACTGCGATATTTTGTGAGGACCCTTGAGAACCATCGTATCCGCTCAAGTGTAGAAAAGACGTACTTTTGCCGACGATGAAAAGGCGTAACACTGTCAGTCATGGACAGATCTTCAGGATTATTGGAAATTTTATGGAACATTTTGGAAGCAGATGAGGCTATTCAGTTTACATCCGAAGAGGAAAATAATAGTCCTTTTCAGTTTTTGGACAAGAAAATCTGAAGGCGCATTTACGGTTTACGGAAAGCGAACCTGAATGGAACAGATTACTAACTTTGACAGCTGTGTCTCACTGAAACCTAGGCGAAAACCAGTCCGGTGTCTAGTCGACAGGACAGGACAAATCCGTTCTAAAAGCGAGTTTGGGACCCACTTTCTCTCACCAGCGAACATACTCTGTGGAAATGGTTAATCTGACAGATTCATCTCAAAACGCATGGCTGCTACGAATAAGGAAACCAAAACGGTGACAGGCTGAATGAAACTATCTTCATCAGTTTTATCATCATACCGGATTTAACCGCGGACCATGTGACTTGGGTCCTACATTACACGATTTGGGATGCCTTTCCGGCCATTCAATCAGAGTGTCTTTCAAGACTGCTTAGTTGATAGCCCCCATATCGACAAAAATAGAATGCCGAACCAAGTTCAAAGCGTGGTCGTCTAATCTTTCTCAACCTGTTGTACAGGAAGAATGACGCTTCAGTTATGCGAGAGAACAAAGGGCCATAGCCCATTTTGAATTACAAATGGATCGGGATGTTCACTGTTAGCCCAGTTTTCCTTCTGTTGACTGATGCCAGCCGTGTGCTTAGTTCCAACACTTTTTCGAATATGGCACCCACCGTGTATCCAATGGGAAATTTACGTTGAATATCACTGTCAGGCCACAGCTGGGTCAATAACCATGCACTCGTACAACTGGAGTCTGTGCACACTTTCTTTCGCACACTAAGTCAGCTCACGTGACCCCTATCCACTCAGACAAGTCGATCGTGACGTGAACAGACTTCAAGTTATCCTTGTTTTACTTGCATGAATTGCCCGCTATCAGTCGCTCAGTCTGTATTGATCGGAAGAAGAGATCGCCACGACGTCAGTTCTCGTCGATAATTTTGTCAGTTTTGCGATGAAACTCATCTATTTATTGCTTTTTGCATATCGCAATGCAAATTTAAAAGTTAAAGATTGACGAGCATAAAACACCGTGATGACGACCATGTACGTAGTGCGGTTCCTAATTCTCTGGTCGATGACGACAGCCACCTATGTGTCGTTCGCTTTGACACCTCTCAAGGGAGCCAAAGAACCTCGTGCAACAGAGAGAGCTGTGACAAACATTGTGGAAATTTCAATATTTGGATAGTTTGTACGCGATCGGTTTGCTAATTCTGCTTGCTGAGAGGCCGATTCGATTTTTAATACCAAGACTATTCAGAGAGCCACCATTGTATTTTCTGGAAATACATCTTTCCTTGCATTCATATACTTGTGTGGCATAATTTCTTATCTCAGCCTGTTCTTTGCTATTGAATGTGTGTGCCTATCCTAATTCACCTGTTTGTGCATGCAGTTATGCTCCCCCAACCTTTATTTTCTGAGGTTCGGTGACCTTACCCAGCGGAGAAAAACGCTCCAGTGTGGTCAGTATGTTTTATTTTGAATGTCGAGATGAGTGATCCTCAACATTAAACTTACCAGTATCTATCCACCTGCCGCAACACAACGGCTTTTGTCTTCTGTGCAGATTAATTCCACAGAGAAAAGTAACGGCGGGTTTCTAGTTGGAACGGCCCCCCTTCCCAAAGGAGTTAACACAAATCCCACATCTGAATTGAGAATGCCGCTACGTAGTCTGCTACCGAGAGCAGCCTCCTTTTAGAGTAAACTTGTTAAAGGGAATAACTATTGATTTTCATTAATTACACATGAAACGAACAGGCAGTGACGTCTGCAACAGAGAGATAACTCAAAATTGGAGTCAAAAGTGTGGAGATCACCGTGTTGCAACAATCAACGGGTATCCAATAGCCTTCCACTCAGGATCAGGTTTCAAGTTCACCACTTCCGCTCCTTTCCTTGGACGGCTTTTTAGTTAAATAACCATTGGGGTTTGTGATTTTGTACCCAACTTGGCCCACAGTCGTGATTATGGAGGTAACTAGCACAAATGGGTTACCTTCAGAGAATTTTGATGTAGAATACTGCTTGCTAAATTCCGAAGTGAGTTTACAAGAACGCTGTGTGGTTCGTGTCGTCACCAAATTAATTCTGGCAGTCTTTCATTTTGACTGACTGGCGCGGCAAAACTTGGTATGTTTAAAATCAGAATGTGACAGTGTACCAGCTTGTAATAGCAAGTACGCTTGGTCATCTTGGTTCACAAATTCAGAATCTGCATGGTATCTGTAAGAAATGGTGTGTGATTAAGTAGACATATTGGAAAATATGTTAAATGGAGACGAAGGGGTACAGGTGAGACTGAGTCACTGATTCACGACTACCACCGGTGGATATTCGGCCTTAGTCTAGCAGCAAATCGTGGTCCATCACAACGGATCGTTTTAGGTTCAACCACATCGGCACGCGTCTAACTTAACGACAGTTTACTGAAGCGATCACACGAGCCTTTATGCATCCATTTCCTGCTTGGAACTATGGTTGAGGTAATGACCTGATTGGTTCTCACTGGTTGTTAATTTTGTTTAGCTGTTCCCTCTCACTAAGCATGAAAAATATTACAAAATTCATGAAACATTTCATGTTTCGCGGGCAACGAGTACACCGAGAGTCAATTTATTCAAATCACAAGAGTAGATTTTCTTAGACAATTCCGCAATTCGTTCTCTGATGTTTTAGAACGAAGAGGTCGTCGTAAACATAGGAATCGACGTGGGGGGGAGTCTCACTAAGCATGAAAAATATTACAAAATTCATGAAACATTTCATGTTTCGCGGGCAACGAGTACACCGAGAGTCAATTTATTCAAATCACAAGAGTAGATTTTCTTAGACAATTCCGCAATTCGTTCTCTGATGTTTTAGAACGAAGAGGTCGTCGTAAACATAGGAATCGACGTCGTCGGGGGGTGAGTTTCCAGTTTTTTTTTCAGTTTAATCCGAATGTTCAAGCACTGGTTTGTTCTGCCATGCTTGTTTGGATTAGGTCACTAGTCCGTCTAATCGGATGCTAGGTTTGATAGTATTGCATGGTAAAGTGATCCAGACGATAAGAAAGGTTGAAAACAGGCATAACGATGGCCTTGTTTGATAGCGTGACGTTGACGGCAGTTCTGAGATGAACTGTCGCACAATGACCTGGTGGAGGTTGGGGCTACCGTGTTAGGATCACACAGAAAGTCTTTCGTATCCCTCAAGTAAAAATGCGCACTACCATTGTGTCTGCGGTCGATTTCCCTTACAGGTTTTTCGGTGTGTATTTTCATTACATGTATATTGTTGTTACTTAAATAAATCTGATTATATCTCTTCAACCTGACTAGGTATTATTTTATGGTGTCATTACTGTATTATAATATTAGTACATTTATTATGTACGGTCACTTTGTTCCATATAATATATATATATGTTATATGTATGACCTCACTCCGATATTAAAAAAGATAGCACCATATTTTTGAACAGCAGTTTTCAGTTTTGTGCAGATGTTCCCCGTTAATCCACTTTCTCGTTTGCACACACTACTACCTTCCCTTTCAGAAAAAATGCGCCAAAGGGACTCCTGGCTGTAAGTTTATTAGTTTTCGTCACTGTGAGCTACGCTACTTTTTCTGATCGGCCGCTGATTTTGCTAACTAAATCAGCTATTTGAGATTCCCGACATTCTTACGAATCGCTAAATCTTGAGGGTCGATTCCTGTTCACTCATATACTACTTTGTGATCTCATATATCAGGAGGGAAATAAATCCATCACTCCACGCTTTATTGAATGGTCTAGTATTGGATTCCCCTACAGCACAAGCTATGCGAGCTCACAGAGTTCTCTAAATGATACCGGTTTACCCACATCTTCGGTCGATGTGTGGTAACAACTGTTGTCATCGGTGATTTTTTGTGATGACTTTTGGATGGTATATGAGTATTCTGACTTGTGCGGCAAACATTTTGTTCCACACACTTTACAAGAGGATTTCGTTGTATCAAAACGGGCAGACTGATTTGCTTGGGGAGCTCTATCGCATCTAATGTAGTTATGATCGGTTCCGCCCTCGATCCAAATCAATTTTTTCCAGCCAAATTATTTAAGCAGCAATTAGGTTGTCGTGATCATTTTCGAAAACAAACACTTGGCTGCTTAAAAATCAACACGGAATTGTTTTCCTGACGTCCGAAATGTTGAGTTTTCCCCCGGAATGTTCAAGTTCTCAGAAAGCAAGTAGAATATTTGGCGCCTTTTTAACTCTGGACACTTGGGCATAGTTGGATACACGTATTCGGACATCTACAATGGTTTTACCTCAATTTTCAGGATATCAAGGTGATATTTCTAACACCGGATACATATCAGATTATTTAAAACCAGATGCTATTTATAACCAATAGGAGACCTTTAGTTGACTTCAAGGAACACTTGTGAGTTACAGAGTATTCCAGAGTGATCGATCGGTTCATGTGGCCTCCCCGAAGGGAAGCGGCTCTCTCCGGAAGTGAGATAAAAAATAGCCCGTTCGCAGCTATTATTCTGATTCGTAGAATTCCTAAACCTAGTTCTCCTAAATACCTCAACATTAAGAAGGGTACATATGTCATATATAGCGTACATAAATATATATATAGCAGTCTCAACAATGGTTGGGTAAGAAGCTATCTTGATGAGTAACTCTTTAAAAATCTTGCCGAATATCAGTGTAGGCTGAGTCAAATGCCTCACTACCGTAATCAGAAAAGTGTCAGTCACATTTACGTTTGCAATGCAAGCAAAGTTTTTAGTATTTGATTTCCGACCAAACCGAAGAGGTCGGGTCATGAACGCTAGAACTTCGCAGTGAAATGTAACCAGACCCCTCCAGACTGCCAAAACGATTTTCGCTGTCGATTGGGCTTGAAAGGAACTGGAATTTTTCGTGCATTTTGTTTCTTTCTGGCGCAACTAAAAGGTCAACTAATCATGGTAGGCGCAGTACGCATCAGTCACACTGATTCTTTTTTATCGTCATAGAAATGTGATTCATCCACGTTGAAAGTCATCTTTCGTGCATTTTTCTAGGGCAGCCGCAAACGCTTTATAAAATAGACATCCCTCTTGACTTATGTTCATGTTTTTGCTCAAAACCTTGGAGTGTACTTTCAAAGTTACTTCGGAAAAATTTAATTGACTAAATCCTCTGACTTGTGGCATCTCTAAACGCAAGCGGAACAGAGCTCAGTTTGAACAGCTTCTGGAATGATTGCTCACCAAAATGAAGCATCCCTAAACTCTAGTGTAAGGAGACTTCGTGAATGTACGATGACTAAATATGCTCGTAAGTGCATACGAATCATCGCTCTCTTCCTGATATGCAATACAGTTTTACACCTAGATAAAACTCGGAACGTTTGAGACCACACCATATAGATAAAATTAAAGTGCAGAAAGTGAGATCTGGTTTCCACCTACCAATCTTCTCACGTGGAAACACTGAATGGCTCTCAAAAATTATCCATGTCTTATCGCGTTTTATTTATTGTTTTTTTAAGTTTCATCCAAGGTCTCAAAAGCATTAGGATTAGCCGTAATTTCTCCGCCCTCTGATTACTGGCTACGAACCAATGCTGTGTGATTTCCGTGATCCCCCAGCAATCCTCCCTTGGTCTAGACCTGAGTTTGACAGGAGACGAGTTTCTTGCTTGCCATCAACGATTTCTTGTAAACATTATTCAGGAATCCGAGCACATTCCTCTTTATTTGTAGGCAGTCAAATCTCCGTGAGAACTTCTACCTATGTGTTTTGTCGCACACGTATTCGAGCATACAAGGGGATATCCTATTAAGTAAGATCACGATACACAGAGAGTGAGAGGTTCCACACAAGGCTCACTGAGAGTTCGCAAACAGATTCGGGCTTCTAAATATCCCCATTCTCAGAACAAGTTGGTTTTGATGGAATACTTAAAAGAGCCCAGCGGAATTTCTCTTTTGCAAAAAAACTTCGGCTGTTTGTGCTGCACCAGGCCACTTCATGTTTCAGTTGATATATCAAAGTACTTTGTCCTGAATGAAATTACTGATAAGGTTACTGAAAGCTCTTCGACAGCTCACGACCGGTTTCATCCATCCTGTATATGATCAGCTAGGCATTGTTGCCGAGTTTTCATCAATTTCATTCTACTTGGACTGAAATTGAACAGAATTTGTCAAATACTTTTATTTGCACAATAATTGGTTTTGATGGAAGACTTCCTTGTTTAAGTATAGTTGACGGAAACTCGAAGAATGCAGCTACCTCTTCAGCCCCAAGAAGGGTGAAACCGGTCATGCTTTCAGCAAATTTATGAGTAGCGTTTTCACCTCAGTGCAAAGGCACTTGTCATCTAAACTTGGCTATATATGTTAGCTTCTGCAGGCGGTATTTCGGTAATATGTTATCTCCGAAACTTTAAGGAAGTTTTGATAAAATTTTGGTTACTCCGTTTAGGAAAAAGGCCACTTTACCACATACTATATAATCGTCAATTACACAAGTCCGCTGTAAGTCTGTTTCAAAACCGAATCCTAACCTATAACTGCGGAATTTACTTCCTAACCAGAGTGTCTAAGTTTATTTGCTAAGATACAAGAAGACACGCTGGTTATTCCTTGTTCTCAAGACGGAATTAGATTACCTTCCTCAATGATTTGCAACTGAGTTGTCCACTGCAGTCAAAGGTTGAAAGAAGACTAAGATCTACGCGTTGTGACCAAGGCATCTCTGGCAGCTCCTGGGCAGCAGGATGCATTATCGAAAGCCGAACCAACGTCATGTGTTAGAAAGTATGGCCACACCCAAAACATCTGACAACACCAAACTATTCGGTGCTAAAAACACCGACAGAACTTCCTCATGCAGCCTGAAATCTTTATTGCTGTGGTTTTTTGCTAGCCGGCTGATACAAATATGTCTGGGGCACTTTACCGAACCTATTGTATGCTCATCCGCTTTTAGAAACAACTGCATTGCAATTAATAAATCATGACAAGAACAACTATTGTACTGTTTGCTTTTGGAAAAGGCAAAGAGGAGATTTTCATTTCCTGAAAATATTCATCACGGCATAATGCAGTGCCGTCCATATGTCACACTTTGTGATGGCTCAGTAAACACGAGCACGCAAACCTGTGTTTGGAATTGTGCACTCCTGATTTTGTTTGTTCCCTGATAAGTTGACGAGCGAACTCGAAAAATGAAGCCCTTGCATACTGGAGAGTCCTACCTACCAATGAAGTAAAGTTTCTCAAAGTTCTATCCGGTGGATCTGGTAGAATCTGAACTCCCGACTATGTCTGGTTTTACGGATTGTGAGCGACCGGAAGTGAATGTGCTCAAAAGGTTACCAGAGGAAGTTTTTCGGCGTGCTACCAAACATATTGTTAGGGGATTAAATTTCGTCTTTTCCACCTACGCAACTGCTGCTCCAATTGTGGTCCTCACATTTATCGAATATTGTTTCATTTGGCCATGTAAACTTTGGTCGAGAACCTCGACAATAGTCCACATCTGGTCACATGAATCAGTGAGGTTTACGTCAGTCCCTACATTCAAAACAGGGTGGGGTCTGCGGAGGAGATACCAAGGGAAGGAAAAAACAGGATTACCTCTACGCTGGTATTTTTTTCCTGTACAATAGTGGGACAGTATATACTGTATTAGTAGAGGCTAGATACTACCACGTACTGGGCAAAAAGCAAGAACCCTGGCTTCCACATAAAGGTGGTCTAAACAAAGGGTGAATAACTGGTATTTTATTCACAGTCTAGCCGATGAGAGATGAAGAATGCCCGTGGATGGCTAAACAAAAAGGGACTGACGCAGCTTACTCGGTGGCAAGTGGGAATCTACTGTGGAGGAATTGGGTTTTCTATGAAATCACGGTTATGTTGCTTAGAGTGGATAACGAAATGCAAACTAAGAATTTGACGACTCACGTTCCCGTAGAGGGAATTCACTTCAGTTCAGTTCCAGTTCAGTCGTAAAATATATGAACGAATTCAAAATGACAAGAAAACCATACTACGTCCATCACAGGCAGATGAGTGCTTTGGGGATTTGCTAAAACAGACTAGGCTAATGAATTTTAGGTGCTTTACCATGATTCGTGCATTGGCAGATGTTGGTAACGACAAATCCAGACGCGGCAAGCACATGCTGACTTGTGATTCTTACGTTGCGTGTAAACATAGACAAAATGACGTGCACTGATCCTTGAAGTTTCTGGTCTTAAGAAACCGTGCACTCTATCTCTAGTCTATCGATTTGGTTGGATAGAAGACCAACAGTCTTTTTTACTTCATTGAAAAGTTCGCTAATTCGCGCAGTTAACACTGATCGGACGTTATCTGGAAGTGGATGAGTAGATCAAGGTGATCATCTGTCTTTCGGAGAAGATTTGTTCAGGAGCATGTCAGTGAAAAGAACCATCAGAATAGCTGCGCTGAAGGTTCTCTTAGTTGGATCATTCAACTTCCAAACGACAACCTCTGTCTGGCTTGTTATATCGATCACTTCTGACTAAATGGGCATAATTTAGGAATGCCCATATTTGTGGTCGTTTGATAAATCAAACAGGGTGGCATTTATTAATGAAATAAACTGGCCATAACTCAAAGAAACCAGAAACTGAATTCAATAATCGGAAGGTCAATCCCATCGACCTGTTTACTCACTTGCTTGCTGAGTTATTCACTTGCTCACTTACTTTTCATCTACTTACGCACTTATTTACTCACTCACTCAATCGGTCACTTCCTTACTGACTTACTCACCTACGTACTTGTTTAATTACTCCCTTACTCGCTTTCTTAGTTAGTAAATAACTTATTTATGCAAAATTTCATTGAAAAGTACTTAAGCTACCTACCGAACAATTTTGTTAGCTGCTCTCAAATCCGAATTTATTTTAATGACTCGCTCTGAAATCAGATTATGATAGAGAATTTTAGTGATAGACCCTACTGTCCAGGGAAAATTACACACTGGATACTGTCTACAAAGCACTACAAACCTGACTTTCCAAAAGTACTGATGACACGGATAGTTTCTTGCAAAACGCTCCAGTCTGATTATCCATCGATTCCTTCTTACTCATCAACACAATGATATTTCTCTGTTTCATGAACAGTCGAAGATTGCAAACGAAACCGGCGACTTCAGCGTAAAGCAGCGGCTCGCTCGACTTCTCGCAGAATATGAAACGGAACCACAAGTGGAACCTTCCTTGCATTCTATTCTCACTAAGCTCTTTTATGCGTTCCTTTTAGCTAATATTCTCGATTCATTCGTCAATTTTGGTTTAAACCATACTGCACACGTCTGACACATGCTTTTCCTCACACAAACTGTGGATATTGTTCCCCAGTTCAATGCACTCCCATCATTCAGGTTCCAGTCGATTACCTGCATTACTTGTCGTCCGTATGTGCACTAAACTCCGAGATTTGTGGGCAGTCATTCCATCGACTTTCCGGCACCATTATCTTGCGGACTGTGAAATTGCCAGTTTTCCTGCTTCATTATCAATATTTTAACAAAAATACGTTTTGTTCGATTACCTGCATTACTTGTCGTCCGTATGTGCACTAAACTCCGAGATTTGTGGGCAGTCATTCCATCGACTTTCCGGCACCATTATCTTGCGGACTGTGAAATTGCCAGTTTTCCTGCTTCATTATCAATATTTTACCAAAAACTACGTTTTGTGTGTGTGTGACGCAAACTGGGCAGTTCCAATCAGCCAGCCGCACTTATGTTCTCTTATTTAGCTGCGATCGATATGATGGTTGCGACTGTTCCACTGGTGCCAAATCCGAACAAATGTTATTGAAACCTCGGGGAGAGAGTGTAGATAAAAAGATTGTGTTAATTAACAATCGCCTACTAAAACACACAAATGGTTTGTTGCGCTGTCAGACAAACGGGCTAGAGTTTTGCGGATTTTCCACACCTATCATGCACAGGAAAGCAATAATTAAAATGCCTGCCATATCGTCTGCGCATCTGCTCTCACCGTTTAGAAGAGTGAACGTTAGTCGGTGCAGTTCTCATCATCAATATTCCTCTCAAAATCTCAGGCATGTTCACTGTTAGTGCCGATAATATATCATTGTTCAATTTCGATAGATCAACCTCATAAAACCGAGCTGGAATATCTGAGATTGAAAATGAAGATTTGAGAATGAATTCGTGAAGCTAGATGGCTTAGTACAAGCCTGGAGCAAATATTTTGGTTTGACCTTGACAAAATACAAACGATTTCAAGGAAAAAATTTCCCCTTTCATTTACTTCTGTCGTCCTTAAACTTTGCTCGGAAGCTAAAGATCGAATTGGAGGGTATTATCTTGACCAAACAAATACAGCAGATTTCAATCCCAATATATTCCTTCCTTTTGAAACAGCTTGACTACAGACACCTCCGATTTTTTAAACTGCCTTAGAGCAAAACCAGCGCTACCCGTGCGCGAAATATTGGCATAAACGTTGCCTCACCAGACGACAAGAGAAATGCTGATCAAAATAAAACCAACATTAAGTAATATGCCAATGATAATTGCGTTGTTTGCTTGTTACGGTGTTTTGTCCAGCCAACGCCGTCTACAAGTCAACTATGATGATCGTCAGATATCAGGATCATGTCAGAAATCTCCGCCAGAACAATGGACTGAGTTTATATACCTGGTGGTTATTAGGATGGATATCCAAAGTTCAGGGACGACAGTAGGATTACGTGTTATTTGGTGGAAATATTCATTGCAACCAAATCAATATACCAGTGATGTTTGCACCAATCCGTGAGTGTGAAATTGGCAATACATGGTACCTAACCGTCTCTTAATTCCGAATGAACTCCAAGTCATTCTCAACTTTCGTACAAGCGGTGGCTGTGATCCAAAATACATCAACACCCACCTTCATTAAGGCTCACAAGATGAGCATAAAGGATAGTTTTAGCCATACAAGTGGAAGCCCTAGGGCACAGTTCTATGATAGACCACTTTAAAGGTTTGGCTGAATGGCTGCTTGTTCTATGCTGGATGAGTATGCCACAAGTAGAGGAGCTCATATAGTCTGCTTTTTCGAAGATTAAATTTATTTATTACAATCTTATAAAACGTCACACTCAACTTTTTTCTGATCAATTCCTTCGCGAATATCAGTGTTCAGTCGGACGAAACAATGACTGAGACTGTAAGAAACAAAGATTTTTCAGTCATATGTTTTGCCAAGCCCTAAAAATTAAGTGATTGTTCGATGCTTCCGTTCTTATTCATATTGGTGTTGTCACAAAAAAAAACAGAAGATGGACACAGATAAACAGCAATATTTTTGGAAGGCTGTAGGTTTTGAGTTGCCATACGGTTCTGGAGTTTTTGGATCGCTGTAGATGATCTGGCGAGTAAATACTGAATTCAATACCTGTTATTGACACTAGTCACTAGTGAAATATCTTGAGAATACCTTTGGAACAATTCACCGTAGAACATTCGTCCTGTAAGTGAAGCCACTCTATGCTGAAAAGCTGAGAGATATTCTTCATCCTTATTGGAAATCATCAACACATTTCAACCGCGTCGTTTGATGAAAAATCTCCGAACGAATCACCCGAGGCTAAGGGGCGCATGCCTCCAAACAGTCTGTATAGTTCAGCAGTGGGACCCTCGAAAGGCACAGCGAAATAATGGCTAGAAGCAATTTTTGGTGAGAAATGCCATCGTCAATATATTACTTGAACAGGTCATGAGTAGCCGGATAAACAAAATATTTGAAATTGGGATGAGTGACCCAAATACTAATCCTTTTCTTTGTACCTGTGCTTCATAATATCTCACATACTAGTGCACAAACCTGGGCCTGATAACAAGTCGCAGTACGAACGACTGAAACACAGTCTTTAATCTAAAGTCAACAAAAGCTTGCCCAAAATTGCTTGCCCAAAATTCATTGTTGTCCTAGGAACTCAAAATCATTAAATATTTGGGAGCAAATTCAAGGGTTTCCGCGAAATTTGTTACCCTTGCCAGTGAGAAGCTGTCGAACGGGTCCTTCCAGAAGGAGGGTTTTACGGTAATGTGATCTGCGAATTTAACATTTTATTAACCTCAAGTTGTCACTGACCCGAGCTACCAAAAACAGTACACATGGGAGATCCACGCAAATAATTAGTAGACATCACAACCGCTTATCAATTGCTAGGGGCACCGATTGATTATTGGGTTGAATACGCCAATGACTCCTTGCAGAACCAATATTTCATCCAACAACCTCACGTGGAGACTTACTGCCAAACAGTCCAAGTCATGCGAGTGCGCTGACAGTATCTATGGGGGTTTGCCACCGTACTCTGAATATCTCGGATCCAACCCTGCACTTGTCTCTAATCATGAGGTGTCGGGCAAGTGACCATCAAAGCATTGACTTCACTCAGATAAATAAATAAAAACTTGTCTTAAACATAATTGTTGTACAGAACACGAAAATTTGAAAATGGATTTTTGCAATCAGCTACTCTTTTGACCTTTGAAAGGATAGTACTTAACATACTGATTTTTCAATTAGTCGACATGAGTGAACGCCATTGAATATACTGCAAGTACAGCATATACTGAATAGCCCAGGCGTACATTTTATGAAACTAAAGTGTGCGAGAAGATTTCCTGTCTTGTAATCCTCAGGTAAAATCACTTGCTCCCGAAATTTCCAATAGTTCTCCACGTATAAGACTCGTTCTCCCTAAAGGTTTCATATTTTCCACATCTTTCAGGCATTTGTGACGCACTGGTTAGCTTGCCTCATGAATTCCAGACGATTATCTTTGTCCGACAGTCCGTGAACCGACGCACCATATGTGAAGCGGTTGCAAGCATCGACGTGTAGTGGGAGGTGGATGAGGTTTGTAGCGAATAGATAGCTAATCGCCTGAGCTCCATACTAAAGGTAAAATGACCAGCAAAGGCTACCGTAAAACTCCTGTTTTTGTGGTGTACCAAGGCAATTCGAGTATTAGTTCTAATCGGCTGGCCAAACTTGGGTTATGGTCTACTTTCTCAACTTTGCTGTCTGTATCTGCGCCACTCTCTTTTTTTACAGTCCTTCCCCTTGTCTTGCGCGATCACTTTTGTCTGTCAACACCAACAAAGGGGAACAGTGTTCTCAAGCTCTGCCCTTGTTAGACCTCATCGGAGGTGTCAGGAGTTGCAATCGGGGCTGGCGCGTTACCACTGTTTCATCAGCGCACCCTTGACACACCCAAATCACTAAGTTTTAGCAACCTAACCTGAGAACGGTTTTCTCACTGAATACTCTTACTCCGGTTAGTTGCGACAAGATAGGAGTAAAGCTGTCCAAGCATAAATGGTGAAACGCATAACTCTACAAATCATGCAACCATCTACACCTAATTACAATTCCCCAATTCAAATTATAGAGGAACATGAAACTGAACCAATAAAATGCAAAACACTATTTAGCAAATGCAAATCCCAGCGTGAGAACCAAATTCAATGATGTCTCATTCACCCATATATAACTATATACAGTGGTGTACTGCCGAATGCACACATTGTGAATGATTATATCGGTCCTGAGGACATCATATTACATAAGTCGGGACCAAAATATGCGTGCGTTCTCGCCCTGACGATGATGTCTGAATAAGCAACGAAACTTTTGTAGTCCAAACTTGAGGAACAAACCGGAATCCAACCAATAACAGAGGCCTTTTTGTTTATTTTATTTGACATTTTAACCGCAAAATTAGACAAAATCTTGTTAGTAATTGAGTTCACAATCCACCGCTGAGTGAATACCATTTAAATGTAGTGACCACTGCGTCACTTATCGTCGTCGTGCTTTTCGAAAGCCGTTGAAGTTCAATCAGTGGATATTGTAATATGTCTGCGTGTATAAAAGTATCCAAACTCACTGTGTGGATGTTCTGAGAATAGCAGCCGGGTGGGCTGAAAAGGAGAATGCGACGTATTAGTTGGATGTAACAGTAAGTTAGTAACTCTCGCCAACTGTTCACATAGGAGCACAAGAGCGGAGGTTAAACGGTTTATTCTCCGAAGCTCTGTACACGTGGGGATTCAGGAGAGAGAGGGTCAACAACGGGGAACAGGGGGTACAAGCATATATAAACATCAGACGGTGGTAGTCACTGGGGAGGGCGATTGATCTCATCTGTCCGGTATTCAGAGATGTCTGCATTTTCTAACATCGTTACCGCCGCCGCTTCTGAAAGTAGACAAAAGAGTTTGTGATTAACGATGGTGCGCATTTTGACATCCGTCGGCACATTACAGTATTTTTAGACTATTTTGAATGTTACATAGAATACCTACCACGATTTAATCACCACACGCGTTCCATGCAGAAGGCACCATAAACTTGGCCTTTTGTGCCGAAAGATTATCAGTTTTTAAAAATTCTTACCCACTTATCCAAAAATGTCGTATCCGGTTGTGAAAAATAAAAATGCCGCGGTACATCAAACAAAGTGCTTTTCGATACTACATACGATATCAAACGCACGCTCAAAATTACATAGGGAGATTTCACAATAACTTTTCTACCTGTATTGAAGCCCAACTCATAGACCTAAGGAGGGATAAAATGGTGCCGCGGAGAAGATGCTAGCAAGCCCGCAATGGTTTTCGATGAATGGTGGCACGGTAATTTCGTCCCTCGGAACAATTGAAAACTTCTTCTACGCATGCAATATCTGATGCCTTTTTGTCGAATCCTCATCTCCAGCTCATGCACCAGGACACTAAGTAGGTCCACCCTGTGCACGCACTTTTCACCTACAAGCTGGCTGAACTGGTCGCCTCCAAAA